ATCTAAAATACGCTTAGCTCTGGCCGCTGAAATCAGGTCGGTGGCCGCTCTCAGGCTTCTTTCTGCTAATAGCAGAGATGGGTAACATCTGCATGAAGGTATTATGCACAATTCTACGCATAATATGCATAAAATGTCTCTTATGCGCAGAAAACGCGCAAAATACGCAGAAAAAGCGCAGAATATGCAGAAAACGCGCAGAAAATGCAGAAAATCCCTAAGACGCGCCCACTCTAACCTAAAATAACCTAAAATAACATTTCTTTCTTCAATATATAGTTCCAGGCAGCTTGCACTTTGCCTTAATACCACTCCACGATTTGTCGTCCAAAGGTAGTCCTCACCTCCAAATCCCATTTCTGTAATTTACTAATTCTAAACCTTAGTTCCCTTTAATTCTTAAGCAATTAACTTTAGGTTATTTTTAACATTTCTAAACATTTACGAGCGTTTTATTCTAATGCATTCTTTAGTTTGTTAAACAGTTCATATTAATTATTTCGTCACTTCCGTTACTCTAGCCATACTTAAGATATCTTTGTGAGTATATTATATATCAAGACACAATATACATTATATATATATATATATATATATATATATATATATATATATATATTATCTGTAGTAATTCTATTTCACTCCCTCCCATTCGAACATCCTTACATGGCACATTTCCTCCTACGCCTAAGCGAAACCGCGACGTGCGGTGTTTCTCCCTAGTGCCCATCGGTCAACTACAAGTGATTTAAATATTCAAACTTGCCGCCGCGCGATCCAGAACAAGGTTCCCCAAAGTCGGCAGCATCTAGAGGTCCAGGAGGTGCCGATCCACGTAAGCCACGAGAGCGCCATCCAGGGGTACAGAGAGCAACCGCGCGATGGACGACCACTGGTAAGTCATTATCTACATTGGCTGCATTCAGTAGACTCAACAGTTGAGACATCTGTTTCCGATGGATCGAACTCCGCTATGAATTTTCTACTGGATTCGTTTGTGATATCGCTACTAGTAAAGATGGCTACTTCTAATGTATTACTTTAAAATAAAAGCGGATAAGGTTAAGTTAAGAGTAGTTTGACAGTAAAATTAAATTTGAAATACTTACGAATAATTTATAAAACAACATTGCATTATAAAGTTATGTTATGTTATTACAGGAAATCTATACGTTCATACAGGACCTAAGCAGAATAGCTATCTTGTGAACTTACGACAATGTGTAATACAGTTTAATTATTGTTAATTTAATATTTTTACATGTATAAGTATGTATAAGTATTTCTTACACTTATAAATATTTCTTGTAAATGTTAACAAAATAATATATATGATTAAGGTTTAAGGATCGATTGTTCCAACTTCTTGGTAAGTTAATTGATAGTTAAATTATATCTCTGTCTTTGTTTTTCCTTCAAATTAAGTAAAGATAAACATATGATTTAATACTTAAAAACAAATATGCCTTACATTTTTATTTTAAGGCATAATTGTTTTTAACTATTAAGTTAGCCATTAGTTTAAGCTTTTACAGATATTATACTAGTAATAACAAAACAATAAATCAAAATATTTTTTATGCCAGTAATGTCAGTAATACATGCAAGTATATTACAAAAAGAGAGGTTAGATTATTAATAATAATAAATATATTACATTAAATTATTTCGAATAATAAAATTTATTATTATTCTTACATACCTGATTGAAGACGAGTATGAAAATCAGCATTTTCTATTATTTTATATAACTCTCCTTTATATTCATATATTTTTTCTATGACATCACTTTTCTCACTAGACGTCGCCATATTAGATTGTATCACTTTCCGCTCAAATAGCGTAAATGAAAACCGCTACAAAATATGGCGTCCGCTCCCTCAACTTGTTGAGATGTAACAACTGAGCGGAGCGTCATTCAGTAGAAAATCTAGTAATGTTACCCAACTGTTGAGTCTACTGAATGTAGCCATTGTTTCTATATGCGCGAAATTACAATTAACACCTGCGACTGTCCGACTCACCGTAAGGTTATACTACGGTGGTTATACTACGCATCTTGCGCGAAATCCATCGCGATTATCCTTAATCGCACGGATCCCTGGGTAGAATCACGCGATTTGTTTAGCCCGAAAAATTGCGATCTGATCCCGTGCTAGGGTTCGAGCGCTATTCTTCACGGCAGCGTGGCCGCAACCCGCCGGGACGTAATACCATACGTATTTCATACGGTTCAATTAAAATAAATTAATCAAGCTTTTTACAATCTTTGATCATTACAATCTGATCATCTGACGTGAGATAAGTTTCAAGTAATAAATATTAATACAAGTTTAGTCCTTGTTTAAGGAGAGTTTGAGAATTTCAAATAATTAATAAACTAAAATAATATGTTACATAAATCTTTAAATAAAGAAGATAAAATGTTAATATACTTGAAGTATGATACATTACCCTTTGTTGTCGTGAAACGAACTCCTGGGGCCCGATGTTTGACGATGTACGAATAAGATACGCATACGAAAATCTATAGTATACGTAACGTGAACTATATATTTTCGCATGCGTATCTCATTCGCATATGGCTCTTGCACACAGGACACGGTAATGCTTGCCGCACAGCGGAAGGTCGCGCGATAGCCAATCAATATGCTGCTTTCCGTAATAACCTTCTAGCTCTTACGGAAAAACAACATATTGATTGACTGTCGCGTTGACTTCCGCCGCGCGGCAAGCATTACCGCGTCCTATGTGCAGGAGTCAATACCGTCAAGAATCGAGCCGTGATGTGCTGGGATTCTGTAACTCGTTATTGGAGTTAACGACAGTTTTGTTATCGTTGCGCAGCTTTTCTATGGTATACAAAAGCTGCGCAACGATAACGTAACTGTCATTAACTCCAATAACGAGTTACAGAATA